TTTCATCACAGTTAGAAAAAAGGTAGCATGATGGGATAACTAACCATTCAATAAACATGCCGTGTGCTGGGATAAAATTAACAGTTAATATTTATCTAGCATTTACTAAATGCAAGGTACTGGACCTCTGTAACCCTCACAACATCCCTGTGACGTAGTCCTAGTATCATACTCATTTTACGGCAATCACACTTTAGCAGAGAAACAAACATCAACCAGTAATTGTATTAACAAGGTAATAAGTGCTGTGAGATTCTATACATGTAAACTCTCAAATTAATAACAAATACCCTGCCCTGACTGGTTTGGCTCAGTTGATAGAGCGTCGGCCTGCAGACTGAAGGGTCCCAGGTTCGATTCTGGTCAAGGGCATGTACCTTGGTTGTGGGCACATCCCCAGTAGGAGGTGTGCAGGAGGCAGCTGAATTTATGTTTCTCTCTCATCAATGTTTCTAACTCTCTATCCCTCTCTCTTCCTCTCTGTAAAAAATCAATAAAATATATTTTAAAAAAAATAACAAATACCCTGATGGTTTATGAAAAATCACTATTCCAGGAGAAACTTAAATTAACACACTATTAAAATAACCAAAGCAAAAAAGCATATGGCGAAACCACCCTTCAGACCTCCAGCCCATACCTGTGCTTTGCTTCCTGTTGTGCTGCATCGCCAGGATCCTGAAAATATAATTTTATCTTTTAGTTGAGTAACTGCACAGAGGAAAAATACAAATTATTCTGTCCTGTTTCTGATAACTAATAGGCTCCTGCAGAGGTAGCAATCAACTTATTGCCAAATAATTAAAAGCTGGGCCTCCAAGAAGTCAGTGGGATAGTTCCCACTTATGAAGCCCCAGCCGGTTTGGCCCAGTGGACAGAGCATCGGCTGGGGACCCAGGGTCCCTGGCTGGATTCCGGTCAAGGGCCCTATCTCGGGTGCAGGGGGGAACCAATCGATGTGTTTCTCTCACATCCATGTTTCCTCTCTCGTCGCCTCTCACCTCTCCCTAAGATCAGGGGAAAAATACCCCCCAGGGGGGGGTAACAAAAAAAGGTTGCGGGTTGATTCCCAGTCAGGGCACATAAACCTAGGTTGCAGGTTGATCCCAGGGCGGAGCCCAACATCGAGGTTTTTCTCTCCCCCGGCCCCTTCCCCCCGCTCCAAAATCAAAAAAAGCTTGCCTCGCGGTGAGGTTAAAAAAAAAAAAAAAG